GCATCGGGGGCGTTCGGCTGTTGCATCGAGAGGTCTGAAATCGCTTGGGCTGAAAACTATTCGTTCTTTGCATTTTCCACATTATATATTGTCAGGAGGCTCTACGAGTCCCCCGGCGGTAAGGAAGGTTGACGGTTTACCGCCGGCGCCCAGTATTTGAAAGATATTTGACAATTTATTTTGAGAAACCAGATTTTCCGCACCTGTAGTGGGTTAAGGCGCGTCTGCCAGTAAAATTTTCAGGTCCGTAGCTGCACTATTACTAACAAAACACTTGGCGGAAACGGCGTTGGATAAAAACAGAAAAACGTGATTTTTCGAGTTTCTTAGGTCTTGCTCTAGACGCTTCCTTCATGCTTACCGAGGAGCGCTGTGTGAGAAAAGAGCTCTACGAGGGCCCCGGCGGTAACCTGGTTGACGGTTTACCGCCGGTTCCCAGTGGGCGCTACCAAGTTGCTGGAAGCTTAAGAGTAATACCTCGTAGATCTCTTCGGCATCGATGAGCTAGAGGAATTCCGGCGCGGAGTGGAGCTAGTTGGCCGACCCGACGAAAAGAGACAATGTGGCACATTTGGGTCGGTTTTCCTAAGATTTGAAAGATATTTGACAATTCATTTTGATAAACCAGATTTTTCTCACCTGTAGTGGGTTATGCCGCGTCTGCCAGTCAAATTTTCAGGTCCGTAGCTGCAGTATTACTATCGAAAGACTTGAGGGAACCGACTTTGGATGAAAACCGAAAAATCGTGTTTTTTCGAGTTTTTCTGCTCTTGCTTCAGAAGCTTCCTTCATGTGTTACGAGGAGCGCTGTGCAACAAAAGAGCTCTACGAGGTGCCCGGCGGTAACCTGGTTGACGTTTTTTCGCCAGTTCCCATTCCGGGGCGCTGGAGAGCTAGTTGGCAAGAAACAGCTCGACGGACTTTTGTTCCCGAAATTCAACAATTCGTTTGAGCTCTAGTATTTTTCCCGTGATCCTGGATCTTTTTCCCGCTCGCCGTCTTGATCTCAGCTCGATCGGGTACCTTTTACTGTCAAAAGCACTGCGGCGGGATCGGCCGTTTCGAGTCATCTTGACATCCGGTGACGGTTTTCCTGAAATAACTCAAGCTGTAGAAGAGCCACAGAGCTGATACGAACAGAAACCAATTCAGAATGATCAGGCGCGTTTGTCTGTTGAATCTAGAGGTCTGAACTCGGTCTGCTGCTCGAGCTAGGTCCGCAAAATTATTCGTATTGTTCGAGTCATTATGGCGGTGCTGTCGATTTTCTGTACTTAACTCGGGCTGCTGGGGAGCTACAGGGCTGGTAATCACAGAAACCGATTCGTCGACATCAGGCGCTACCGCCTGTCGCATGCACAGGTCTGAACTTGGTCTCCTACTCGAGCTAGGTCTGCAAAACTATTCGTATCCCTCGAGTCATTTCGACAGAGACGGTCGGATTTTTGCTCTTTACTCGAGCTCCAGGGAAGCTGTAGAGCTGATACGCACAGAAACCGATGCAGACTGATCAGGCGCGTTCGTTTGTTGCATCCAGAGGCCCGAACTTGGTCTGCTACTCGAGCTAGGTCTGTGAAACTGTTCGTATGGTTCGAGTCATCTTGAGAGCCGCCGTCGGTTTTCGCACGTAACTCGGGCTGTAGGAGAGCTACAGAGCTGGTACGCACAAAAAACGATCCAGAAGCATCAGGAGCGATCGTCTGTTGCATCGAGAGGTCTGAACTCGGTCTGCCATCCGGGTAAGGTTCACAAAATTATTTGTATTCGACTGATCTTTTTTTCCAAATAATGGTGAATTTCTTCACTGAACTCGAGCGGCCGAAAAAGAAGGGAATCGTGAGGCGTGAAGCATCTAGACGCTTGGTTTGAGTTTGTACGCAAACGCCAAAAACGGATTCGTACTCTGCTACTTCTCCCAGCACAGCAATGGGATATCACTGGGCGCCTGAGATCAATCTGCTATCAGCTCGGGCTTAAAAGCTATTCGTTCTCTGTTATTTTTCCGAACATATTGAAGCTCTACGAGTCCCCCGGCGGTATAAAGGTTGACGGTTTACCGCCGGCGCCCAGTTTCCAGTGTGTGCTCTCTTTGCTCTCCGGGTTTCGAACGCTACCAAGTCCGGCGTGGGGTGGAGCTAGTACCTCGTGGAGCTCTCATGGTGACAGAGCCAGAGGAATACCTCGTAGAGCTCTTCGGCATTGATGAGCTAGAGGAATTCCGGCGCGGGGTGGAGCTAGTTGGTCGACCCGAGCAGAAAGGACAATGCGGCAACTTTTGGTCGGTTTTGCTAAGATCTGAGAGATATTTGACCATTTATTTTGAGAAAGCAGATTTTTCGCACCTGTAAACGACTATGAGGGCCTCTGCGTCTAATATAAGCTCTGTAGGCGCAAATTTACTATCAAAACACTTGGCGGAACCAACTTCATGTCGACATGAAAAAATGAGTGTTCAATTTTTCGAGAAATGCCTCGAGAAGCTCTTTCGACTCTGAGCACTTTACGCGTGGGAGGAGCTCTACGAGGTTCCCGGCGGTGATCAGGTTGACGGTTCACCGCCGGCGCCAGTTCGGCAACAGGGTGCAGCTAGTTGGCGAATTTTTGGAAAGGGACGCGATCATACCATCCGCGGCCTGGCTCAGCCAATTTTGCAGCTCTAACCATTCGTTCCGGCTGATAATTGCGCAGAGCGAAGCTTTGCATCACAGAAGTTGCCTCTCGAATTCTTAGCTCATTCCGTCGACAAATTCTTCTGAGCGAAGCCATGAATCTGTCCTCAGATTGACGTAAAAAATTGAAAATTGAAGATTTGAAGAAAATCTACTGCGAAGTTCTCTGCTTCGATTCTGGGCACTCTCGCGCGTGGAAGGAGCTCTACGAGGTTCCCGGCGGTGACCAGGTTGACGGTTCACCGCCGGCGCCAGTTGGTCGATCCGACCAGAAAAGACAAAGTGGCAACTTTTGGGTGGTTTTGCGAATATTTGAAAGATATTTGACCATTCATTTTAAGAAAGCAGATTTTTCGCACCTGTGGACGACTATTAGGGCCTCTGCGTCTTGATATGAGCTCTATAGGTGCACTTTCCCTACCAACACACTTGGCGGAACCAACTTCATGTCGACATGAAAAAATCATGCTTTCTTTTTTCGAGAAATGCTCCCAGCCCTCTCTCTTTGATGTTGAGCACTCTCACGCGTGCAAGGAGCTCTACGAGGTCCCGGCGATGACCAGGTTGACGGTTCACCCCCGGTGCCAGGTCCGGGGCGCTGGAGAGCGGAAAATCTCGACGGACCTTTTGGTGACTTTGGGTCGGTTAAAAATTTGGTTCTCGAAATTCCTCTATTCCTTTGAGCTCCAGTATTTTGGTTCGCAAAACTATTCGTATTATTCGAGTCATCCTCAGAGGTGCTGTCGGTTTTCTGCACTTACCTCGAGCTGCAGGTGGCTACAGGGCTGATAATCACAGGAGTCGATTTAGAGACATCAGTCGCGTCTGCTTGTCGCATTCAGAGGTCTGAACTCGCCCTGCTACTGGAGCTAGTCCGCGAAACTATTCGTATTGTCGAGTCATCTAGAGAGGTGCTGACGATTTTCGCACGTAACTCGGGCTGTAAGAGAGCTACAGAGCTGATGCGCAACTTATTTGAAATCATTGTGCGCGTTTGTCTCTTCTATCCAGAGGTCTGAACTGGGTTTGGTACTCGGGCTAGGTCCGCAAAACTATTCGTATTCTCCAAGTTACCTTGGCAGATGTTCTCTCTTTTCTGTGTTAGGACAGCTACGAGCTGGTACGCACAGAAAACGATCCAGAAGTATGAGGGGCGTTTGGCTGTTGCATCGAGAGGTCTGAAATCGCTCGGGCTGAAAAACTATTCTTTCTCTTCAATTTTTCATATCATTCATGATCAGGAAGTTCTACGAGTCCCCCGGCGGTAAGAATGGTTGACGGTTTACCGCCGGCGCCCAGTTGGTCGACCCGACCAGAACAGATAAAGTGATAACTTTTGTGTCGTTTGCGAATATTTGATAGATATTGAACCATTTATTTTCAGAAAGCAGGTTTTTACGCGTTGCATTAGTATCTAGACTTCATTTCCAAAGCAGCTCAGCTTTCTAGAGAGAGTTTATCCGAAACGACCCACATCGGAGTGACATCGAAAAATGGAAAATTCACGTTTTTCGAGAAAGGCCGCGAGAAGCTGTCAGCTTCGATCCTGAGCACTTTGGTGCCTGAAGGAGCTCTACGAGGTTCCCGGCGGTGACTAGGTTGGGCAGAGTTTACCTCCTGCTCGGCCAGGCCTCACCGCAGGGGTCCCCCTCGTCTCGAGCTGCATTGTGCAGTCAGGAGTCTTTGGTTCCTCATACTGTACACGGTGCTCTCACTATGAGGGGCGACGGCGGCGCCGCGTTGGCTGCATCTTGTGGAGGCAGCGGTCCGCGCTGCTGTTCAGGCAGGTGCCCCGCGCAGGACTGTCGCAGCCGCCGCGGCTGCCGTGGCCTCGGTCATGGCGGCGACGCGGTGTGGCGTTGGTCCGGCGCAGGGTGCCCCTGATCCCGCTGCCGCCGGTTCGGCCGGCTCCCGGCGGCAGCGGAGGAGGCTGAAGAAGAAAACTATGATGTGCAGGTCGGGGCAGGATGCTGTCCTTGGGGAGCCTGTCGGGCAGACCCTAAAGGCTCAGGATGTTGATCATGAGATATCTTGTTATCACAGGTCCAGTGTTGATCATGGCGCCTCTGATCTTCATGTTGGGAGCTCTTCATCTAGGCGAGTCCAGTTTGATGATCGGTCTTCAGTGGTTTCTTATGAGATACCCCTTCAAGCGAGGCTGAGTCCCATATCGAGGAGGCCGAAGAAGAAAACTATGAGTTGCAGGGCGGGGCATGATGCTGTCCTTGGGGAGCCTGTAGGGCAGACCCTAAAACTCAGCGTGGTGATCATGAGGTAGCGCACGTGGGTTCGCACGTTCCTGTTCCTGCTCAGACGGCAGCTGATGTGAAGATGTCGGAGTTGGAGAAGGATAACGAGGATAACATGTCTGTTGTTTTTGCTCCTGTTAAGTCGGCAGCTGATGTTAAGATGTCGGAGGTGCAGAAGGAGAACGAGGTTGTGGCGGGGGGTGGGGGCGCTCGTGCTGCAGGCAGAAGTGGAGGGGGAGTCAGTGTCGACATTGCGGAGTTACTGCGGAGCCAGTTCTCGGCGATGAAACAAGATATGCAACAGAGGCTGCAATTGGGAATTGAAAGTTCCGAGGAGGATGATTCGCAACAAGGGGGTCCTCAGAGTTCTACTTCCAGGAGTGGATTGACGCGGAGCGGCAAGAAGCATCGGAAACGGCACAGATGATGCACATGTGATTGATCCTGCACGCTTGATTTGTCATTGCGTTGCCTTTCTTCATGCCTGTGTGTTGTCGTGCATGCGCGTGTGTTGAATAAGAGCTTCGCTTGATCCCTCAAAGTAGGTCATTCGTTGCTTCCTTGATTTGAGTGCTCATTGACCTTTGAACGTGACTTTCCGTGATTTGTCACGTGGTGCCTCAAAGTAGGCCTTTGATCTGGTCGACACTACGGTGGCGCAAATTCGTTGTTGTGTTTCACGTGCATGGTCTTTCAGTGGTGCTGAGACGGTAATCGCTATATGTGGTTACTGCATGGTCTCGCATTGCTTTGAAGTGTACTCGTCCTTTTAGTTGTTCGTTTTGTGTTTGTCTCAGTGGTGTTGAGACGGTAATCGCTGTATAAACCAGTGGTTACTGCATGGTCTCTCGCTGCTTTTATTTTCAGTGGTGCTGAGACGGTAAGCGCTATATGTGGTTACTGCATGGTCTCGCACTGCTTTGCTTCCTTCTTTCTCTTCTTATTTGCCTTCTCGCGTATTGGCAGTCTTGTGCATATCTGTACAGCTTCGCTGTTTGATGCACCTCTGCTTTAATCTTTGCAGCTTCGCTGTCTTCCTGTACAGCTTCGCTGTTTAGGTTCTTTGTGTTTAGGCCTGCTCCCATGGGAGGTCGAACCGGCCTTCGCAAAAGACGCAAAAAAGACTAGGTTGACGGTTCACTGCCGGCGCCAGTTGGTCGACCTGACGTTAAGAGACAATGTGATGACCTGGGGTCGGTTTTCCTAAGATTTCAAAGATATTTGATTACTCATTTTGAGAAACCAGATTTGTCGCACCTGTAGTGGGTTATGCCGCGTCTGCCAGTTAAATTCTCAGGCCGTAGATGCTTTATTACTACAACCCACGTTAGATAAAAACAGAAAAACGTATTTTTTTTCGAGTTTTTTGTTTCGCGCTCTAGAAGCTTCAATCCATTTAAAGAAAACAGATTTCTCGCATCTGTAGTGGGTAATGCTGCGTCTGCCAGTTAATTCTCAGCTCTGTAGGTGCAGTATTACTATCAAAACACTTGACGGAACCGTCTTTGGATACAAGATAAAAACGTGATTTTTCGAGTTTTTCCCGGTCTTGCTCCAGACGCTTCGTTTATGTGTACCGAGCAGCGCCGTGCGAGAAAAGAGCTCTGGTAACCTGGTTGACGGTTTACCGCCAGTGGCAAGTACCTCGTAGAGCTCTTCGGCATGGATGAGCTCAGATTGCACCTCTAATACCTCGTGGAGTTCTTCGTTACCGATGAGCTAGAGGAATTCCAGCGCGGGGTGGAGCTAGTTGGTCCACCCGATCAGAAAGGACAAAGTGGTGACTTTGGGTCGGTTTTGCTCAGATTTAAAAGATTTTTGAGAATTCGTTTTGAGAAATGAGCTTTTTACGCCGAGCATTCGCATATAAGCTTTCTTTTCTGAGCAGCTTCGCTCTCTAGAGCCAGTTTCAGTATTAGTTGACTTCTTGAATTGACTTGATGTTGACTCCAAAAATCTGAATTTAACGTTTCCCCAGAAAAGCTCCCAGAAGCTCTCCGCTCCGATCCTGAGCTTTCTCACGAGTGCAAGGAGCTCTACGACCTTTCCGGCGGTGAGCAGCTTGACAGTTATCGCCGGCGCCAGTGCCTCTAGGTACAGTATTACTACCAAAAAACTTGGAGCACCTGATGTTAGATAGCATCGAAAGACGTAATTTTTCCAGTTTCTCGGGTCTCGCTCCAGAAGCTCCCTTGACGTGTTCTAAGGAGCACGATGTGAGAAAAGAGCTCTACGAGGGTTATGGTGGTAACCTGGTTGACGGTTTACCGCCGGTTCCGGAGCTCTTCGGCATCGATGAGCTAGTATCGAGATCTTGAGCTGTAATTTAAGCACAAAACTTAATGGACAATCTGTGTACTACACTGAAATATCATTTCGAAATTTTGTAAGGCGAATATTCACTTGAGCTTTCTGGTCGACATCTTACAAGACAGAGCTCTACGAGGGTCCTGGCGGTAACGAGGTTGACGGTTTACCGCCGGCTCCCAGTATCTCGTGGAGCTCTTCGGCATCGATGAGCTAGAGGAATTCGGGCGCGGGGTGCAGCTAGTTGACCCAGTCTGGGCGGACAATGTGTGAACTTTGGGTCGATTGGCCGAACTTTCTGAGAGATTTGAAAATTCGTTTTGAGAACAGGCAATTTTCGCACCTGTAGTGGGTTATTCTGCGTCCGCCAGTGAAATCCTCAGGTCTGTAGCTGGAGTATGATTATCAACACACTTGAAGCAACCGACTTTCGGTGAAAACTGAAAAACGTTGAAGTTATTCAGCTCGCGCGCAAGAAAGCTTCCTCCATGTGTTCCGAGCAGCGCCGTGCAGAGAAGAGCTCTACGAGGCTCCCTGGCGGTAACCTGTTTGTAGCCGCGGAAGTGCCTGTGGCGTGTGGATACAGATAGGTCTGCGTAACAAGTATATCTTCTCGCGGACCGACATCACTTTCAAGGATGTGTATCTTGCGGCTTGGTGTCTGCCACCAAGTGCCACGGTCACAGATGCGGAGTTATCAGCGGCGGAGCGCATATGTGATGTGCTCCCACAGGTTGTACAGACCTTCTTTGATCATTCGCAGTGATAAGTCGCACATTGTTTCATCTCATATTTTGTCTTCTTGTATATTCTAACAGCTTCGCTGTTTATTTGCTCTTCGTTTTTCATGTGTGTGCTTTGCGATTGATTGTGTCATTGCTGGCTTTTGATTCTCTTTATTGCAACAGCTTTGCTGATGTGAAATAAGAGTTGACTGCTTGCGTGACAAATAAGAGGCTCTGATTCGCCTGAGACTTCGTTGGGCCTGGCCTCAGTGGCCAAGACGGTCCCAGCAAAGACGCAAAAAACCTGGTTGACGCTTTACCGCCGGCTCCGAGTTGGCCGACCCGACCAGAAGAGACAATGTACCTCGTAGAGCTCTTCGGCAAGATGAGCTAAGGGGAATTTGGGCGCAGGGTGGAGCTTGTTGGCCGACCCGCCTTCGAGAGACAATCTGATGACTTGGGGTCGCTTTTTCAATCTTTGTGCAAAATTTGAAAGTTCGTTTTGAGAACTGGTACTTTTCTCACGTGTAGTGGGTTATGCCCCGTCTGCCAGTTAAATTCTCAGGTACGTAGCTGCAATATTACTTTCAAAAGACTCGAGGGAAACGATTATGTTTCGAGACATGATTACACGCGTTGTCAGTTTTCTGTACTTAGCTAGAGATTTAGGAGAGCTATAGAGCTCATACTTAGGAGCCTATTCGGAATCACCAGGCGCGATCGTGTGCTGCATCCAGAGGTCTGAACTCGGTTTCATACTCGAGCTAGGTCAGCAAAACTATTTGTATCCTTCGAGTTATTGTGACAAGTCCTCGGGATTTCCTGTACTTAACTGAAGATTTAGGAGAGCTACAGAGCTGGTGCGCATATAAACCAATCTAGCATCATCCGGCGCGTTCTTTTCTTGCATCGAGAGGTCTGAACTTGGTACGTAGCTGCAATATTACTTTCAAAAGACTCGAGGGAAACGATTGTGTTTGGAGACATGATTACACGCGTTGTCAGTTTTCTGTACTTAGCTCGAGATTTAGGAGAGCTACAGAGCTCATACTTAGGAACCTATTCGGAATCACCAGGCGCGATCGTGTGCTGCATCCAGAGGTCTGAACTCGGTTTCATACTCGAGCTAGGTCCGCAAAACTATTTGTATCCTTCGAGTTATTGTGACAAGTCCTCGGGATTTCCTGTACTTAACTGAAGATTTAGGAGAGCTACAGAGTTGGTGCGCATATAAACCAATCTAGTATCATCCGGCGCGTTCTTTTCTTGCATCGAGAGGTCTGAACTTGGTCTGGTACTCGAGCTAGGTCCACGAAGCGAAGATACAACATGAAAAACGTGTTTTTTCGAGCTTTTGTCTTCACGCTTGAGAATTTTTTTTCCGTTTGCTCCGAGCAGCGCCGCGCGAGAACAGAGCTCTACGAGGCTCCCGGCGGTTGCCTGGTTGACGGTTTACCGCCGGATCCCAGTGATAACTTTGGGTCGGTTATGATATTTGAAAGATATTTGACAATTTATTTTGAGAAACGGTATTTTCCTCACGTGTAGTGGGTTATGCCGCGTCTGCCAGTCAAATTCTCAGGTCCGCAGCTGGAATATTACTATCAAAAAACTTGCTGGAACCAACTGCGTTCCGAGTCATCTTGACACGCGTTCACGGTTTTCTGTGCTTCACTCGAGATTTCGGAGAGCTACAGAGCTGATGCTTACAGAAACCGATTTAGAATCATCAGGTGAGTTCGTCTGTTGCATCCAGAGGGCTGAACTCGGTCTGCTACTCGAGCTAGGTCCGTCAAACTATTTGTGTTAGTCGAGTCATCTTGACCAGTGATGTCGATTGTCTGTACTCAACTCAAGATTGAGAGGAGTTACAGAGCTGGTACGCACATAAACCGATTCAGTATCACCAGGCGCGTGCGTCTGTTACATCGAGAGGCCTGAACTCGTTCTGCTACTCGAGCTAGGTCCACAACACTATTCGTATTTCTCAAGTTCTCTTTAGAGACGCTGTCGATATTCTGCAGTTAACTCTAGCTGTAGCACAGCTACAGAGCTTATACGCACAGAAACCGATACATAATCATCAAGTGCGTTTGGCTGAAGCATCTAGAGCTCTGAACAGAGTCTGCTTCTCGAGCTAACTCCGCAAAACTATTTGTATGCGACCGATTTTTTAGAGTTTTTTGGCTCTCGCTTTTGCTTGCTTCACGTGTTCCCAGGAGGTGGGCAAGAAAAGAGCTCTACGAGGTTCCCGGCAGTGACTAGGTTGTTGCTGTCCCTCCTCGGGATCTCAGCGGCGACCTGGCCCGTCGGAGGCCTCCTCGAGCGGCATCGTGCCGTGCCTGGCGTTTGGTTCTCTTTACCGTACACGGTGCTTCAGTGTCTGTGCTGCCTGAGTACCGTACACTCTTATTGATTGTCGAAGGCCTCTTATTGATTGTCGTCGGAGTGCATATAATTGTTGAGATTGTCGGAGTATCGTTGAAGCAGCATTTTCCGTGGTTATCTCAACTGTCCATCTAGTTATTGCTTGTGATTTGCCTTCTTGTAGAGCGAGTCCACGTTTTTTATATATGGAGTTTGTTTCATCTGAATTGTCAGGCGCGGACTTTCTTGCTTCAGATTGGACAGATACGGCGTTGTTTACTTCCGAGTCTCTCGCTTGTTTGTCTGCTCGTTTGTCTACGGTCGAAGTGTGTGTTAGTGATCTACATTGCCGTGTTCGCCCTTCGTACGGAGGTGAATCTCGCATGCATGAGCGAGACCAGCTGTATGGGCATGGTGTCAAAGTTTCTCAATCGAAGTTGCGCCGCCTGCGGGCGAAACGTGTCAGGTATCGTTTGTGGTCCACGGCTCGGGGGCCAGATCCGTCGTGCCTTGTTCGCGCGGGCATTTTCGCGCCCAGATATTATCGGAATTTCTGCTCGGACGATTCTGAGGAAGAGGAGTGGGTTGAGGACACTTGTGGAACACAGACTGATATGGATGCTGTTGAATTGGCTGGCAACTCTTTGCGTTCGCAGTGTTCCGATTGTGGGACTCAGACAGATCCCTGTGTTCACATTGAGTGTGGGACTCAGACTGATCTTTGTGTTCTCTTTGTTGGTGAGGAGGAGAAGGAGGAGTGTCATCGAGTGCGCGCTGATCAGGGTGATGCTTCTGCAGTTGGGAGTTCCTGTGCAGTCGGGAGTTCCACTGTTCGGAGTGCAGTAGGAAGTTCCACAGTTCGGAGTTCCGCTGATGCAGTTGTGGATGCAGTTGGGAGTTCAACAGCTGGGAGTTCTGCAGTTGGGAGTACCGCGGTTTGGAGTTCAGCTGATGCTGTGGCATCGAACCCTGGCTGCAAGGACGAGGAGGAGGAGAATGTTCATAGTGAAGCAGTTGCTAAGATGGAGCAGGAGGAGGTGGCTGAGGAGGATTTTGTTCATGTTGGTGAGGGGGAGAAGGAGGAGTGTCATCGAGTGCACGTTGATCGGGGTGATGCTTCTCTCAGAATGAAGAGATATTGTTTCAAACGAACGGAGACTATCGAGAGTACAAAGTTGCACACTTCAGAATTGCATGCGACCAACGGGAGTGCGGTGGAGAGTACCGCAGTTTTGAGTACAGTTGATGCAGTCGGGAGTTCCAGTGCAGTCGGGAGTTCAACACTTGGGAGTGCAGTAGGAAGTTCCACAGTTCGGAGTTCCGCTGATGCAGTTGAGGATGCAGTTGGGAGTTCAACAGCTGGGAGTTCTGCAGTTGGGAGTTCAGCTGATGCAGTAGGGAGTTCCATGAATGGGAGTTCTGCAGATCGACCGAGTGAGACACGCTCTGAGTGCCAAGCTGCCAGGGACTGGGCCCTTGCCGGTGTCGATATGAGGGCTCTTTGGCTTGAGCTACACCGACTCCCGACGCAGGAGTTTCAGCGTAGGACTGAGGCTCTTAATGCATACAGGCTGCAATTGGGAATTGAAAGTTCCGAGGAGGATGATTCGCAACAAGGGGGTCCTCAGAGTTCTACTTCCAGGAGTGCATTGACGCGGAGCGGCAAGAAGCATCGGAAACGGCACAGATGATGCACATGCGATTGATCCTGCACGCTTGATTTGTCATTGCGTTGCCTTTCTTCATTGATTGAGTGCATTCGTTGCTTCATTGATTTGAGTGCTCATTGACCTTTGAACGTGACTTTCCGTGATTTGTCACGTGGTGCCTCAAAGTAGGCCTTTGATCTGTCGACACTACGGTTGCCTCAAAGAGGACTGGAGTGTACTCGTCATTCTAGTTGTTAGTTTTGTGTTTGTCTCAGTGGTGTTGAGACGGTAATCGCTGTATAAACCAGTGGTTACTGTATGGTCTCTCACTGCTTTTTTTTCAGTGGTGCTGAGACGGTAATCGCTATATGTGGTTACTGCATGGTCTCGCACTGCTTTGTTTCCATCAATATTTGAGTTGAATTCTCGTGTATTGTATACTTGTGCATTCCTGTACAGCTTCGCTGTTTGTGCACTTGTACTTAATCTTTGCAGCTTCGCTGCTTAGGTTCTTTGTGTTTAGGCCTGCTCCCATGGGAGCTCGAGCCGGCCTTCGCTAAAGACGCAAAAGACGGTTTACCGCCGGCGCCCAGTTTTGGACGCTACCAAATGTACCTCGTTGAGCTCTTCGGCATCGATGAGCTAGAGGAATTCCGGCGCGGGGTGGAGCTAGTTGGCCGACCCGACCAGACGAGACAATGTGATGACTTTGGGTCGGTTTTGCTAATATTTCAAAGATATTCGACAACTCATTTTGAGAACCGGTATTTCTCTCACGTGTAGTGGGTTATGCCACGTCTGCCAGTTAAATTCTCAGGTCCGTAGCTGCAATATTTCTATCAAAAGACTTGCTGGAACCAACTGCGTTCCGAGTCATCTTGACACGCGTTCACGGTTTTCTGTACTTAACTCGAGATTTCGGAGAGCTAAGGAGCTGATACTTACAGAAACCGATTTAGAATCATCAGGCGCGTTCGTCTGGTGCATCCAGAGGCCTGAACTCGGTCTGCTACTCGAGCTAGGTCCGTCAAACTATTTGTGTTAGTCGAGTCATCTTGACCAGTGATGTCGGTTTTCTGTACTCAACTCAAGATTCAGAGGAGGTACAGAGCTGGTACGCACATAAACCGATTCAGTATCGCCAGGCGCGTGCGTCTGTTGCCTCGAGAGGCCTGAACTCGTTCTGCTTCTCGAGAACTCGGTCTGCTTCTCGAGCTAGGTCCGTCAAACTATTTGTGTTAGTCGAGTCATCTTGACCAGTGATGTCGGTTTTTTGTACTCAACTCAAGATTCAGAGGAGCTACAGAGCTGGTACGCACATAAACCGATTCAGTATCACCAGGCGCGTGCGTCTGTTGCATCGAGAGGCCTGAACTCGTTCTGCTTCTCGAGCTAGGTCCACAACGCTATTCGTATTTCTCAAGTTCTCTTTAGAGGCGCTGTCGGTATTCTGCGCCTAACTCTAGCTGTAGCACAGCTACAGAGCTTATACGCACAGAAACCGATACATAATCATCAAGGGCGTTTGGCTGAAGCATCTAGAGCTCTGAACAGAGTCTGCTTCTCGAGCTAAGTCCGCAAAACTATTTGTATGCGACCGGTTTTTTTAGAGTTTTTTGGCTCTCGCTTAAGCTTGCTTCACGTTTTCCGAGGAGCTGGGCAAGAAAAGAGCTCTACGAGGTCCCCGGCGGTAACCAGGTTGCTGCTGTCCCGCCTCGGGGATCTCAGCGGTGGCCTGGCCCGTCGGGGGCTTCCTCAAGCCTGTCTCCTCAGGCTGCCCCCTGGGCGGCCGTGTGCGCGCGGGCGGGCCGTGCAATAAATTCGGGTACTTCGTCGGCTGCGACGACCTTCTCTCCTTGGGCCTACAGACGATAGGTGCTGGAGGCCAGCTCTGTTTGGCATCAGAAGTGGGACTGACTTCAACGCATAGGCCGCTGTCGTCGCTTTGTACTTGTTTGTGCTGCCTGCTTGCGCTTTCTCCATTTGTGCTCTTGCACACGTGTGTATTCTTTGACATTGAGGTACTTTGACAGTTCTGTGACATTGGAGTATCTCGAGATTGAGGTTCTCTGCGTTGTATCGGCGTGCCTGTTTTCATTCTTTCTTTGAATCGTATCGATCAGAATTCAAGATACTTGAGTGCGTTATCAGACATTCAGTAATGCAGGTGATTCAAGATACTGAGTGCGTTATCAGACATTCAGTCATCCGAGAGTTACTTCTTGAGTGCATTATCAGACATTCAGTTATCACACATTTGACGTGAGCATACTACTCTTGTCTTACCGCGGGTTGTTACGACATATTTCGGACTTTGTGTTTGCGTTGACTCTTGCCAAGCTGTGTGTGTGTCGGACATGCGCGCATGTTGGTATAAGAGCTCCGCGTGATCTTCACTTTGTTCGGAATAAGAGTTTTGCATTTGCCTACTCCCGCTCAAAGAGTGGTGGGTGTCTTGCCTGACTCTGTGCACAGTCGACCGCAAATTCGTTGTGTTTCACGTGCGTGGTCTTTCAGTGGTGCTGAGACGGTAATCGCTATATGTGGTTACTGCATGGTCTCGCATTACTTTGAAGTGTACTCGTCATTTTAGTTGTTAGTTTTGTGTTTGTCTCAGTGGTGTTGAGGCGGTAATCGCTGTATAAACCAGTGGTTACTGTATGGTCTCTCACTGCTATTATTTTCTGTGGTGCTGAGACGGTAATCGCTATATGTGGTTACTGTATGGTCTCTCACTGCTTCTAGCTGTCTTGTACAGCTTCTTTCATCATCTTTGTTTTTTGTATTCTAGTGTATTGGCAGTCTTGTGCATATCTGTACAGCTTCGCTGTTAAATGCACCTCTGCTTTAATCTTTGCAGTTTCGCTGTCTTCCTGTACAGCTTCGCTGTTTAGGTTCTTTGTGTTTAGGCCTGCTCCCGTGGGAGCTCGAACCGGCCTTCGCAAAAGACGCAAAAAACCAGGTTGACGGTTTGCCGCCGGTTCCCAGTCGCTCTCCGGGTTTTGGACGCTACCAAGTGGACGCTGCCAAGTGGCCGGCCGGACCAAAAGAGAGGATGTGGTAACCTGGGGTCGGTTTTTTACCCCGTAGAGCTCTTCGGCGTCGATGAGCTAGAGGAATTCCGGCGTGGGATGGAGCTAGTTGTCGACCCGACGAGAAGAGACAATGTGATAACTTTGGGTCCGTAATTCGTAGAGCTTCCCCAAGCTAGTTGCTGAAAGCTTAAGAGTAATTCCGGCGCGCTGGAGAGCTAGTTGGCGAGAAAAATCTCGACGGACCTTTTCCTGACTTTTGGTCGGTTGAAAATTTTGTTTTCGAAATTCAACAATTCGTTAGAGCTCTAGTATTTTTTCCCGTGACATTCGATCTTATTCCCGCTCGCAGTCTTAATCTCAGGTCGATCGGGTAGATATTTCTACCAAAAAGCACTGCGGCGGGATCGGCCGTTTCGGGTCATCTTGACACGCGGTGGCGCTTTTCTGAACATAACTCGAGCTATGGGACAGCTACAGAGCCGATATTAAGAGAAACCCTCTTAGAATCATCAGGCGCGTTCGTCTATTGCATCTAGAGGCCTGAACTCGATCTGCTACCCGAGCTAGGTCCGCGAAACTATTCGTATTATTCGACTCATCTTAATAGGTGCTGTCAGTTTTCTGTACTTAACTCGAGCTGTAGGACACCTACAGAGCCCATGTTAACAGAAAGCGATCCATAATCATCAGGCGCGTTTATTCGTTGCATCTAGATGTCTGAACTCGGTCTGCTACTCGAGCTATGTCCACAAACCTATTCGTATTATTCGAGTCATCTTGACAGATGCTGTCGGCTTTCTGGACTGAACTCGAGCTGTAGGACAGCTACAGAACTGGTACTTACAGGAACCATTCGAATTCATCGGGCGCGTTCATCTATGGCATCTAGAGGTCTGAACTCGGTCTGCTACTCGAGCTAGGTCCGTGAACCTATTCGTATTATCTCATCTTGACTATTGTCAGTTTTCTGTACTCAACTCGAAATGTGGGAGGGCCACTCAGTTTTGTATTCGAGTCTGCTATCGGAGGCTGAAAAACTATTCGTTCTCTGCCAATTCTTTGGACATAATATATGGCAAGGAAGCTCTACGAGTCTCCCGGCGGATGGCTCAAGACATCTCGGCTCCAGGGCTCCAGGATCCCACTGGGGCTCAGGGGGTGTCGGCGTCGCGGGGAGACGGCGCGGCAGCCATCGCTGCCATCGACGGGTACGGCATCTTCGAGGTCAGCTAGGCTGCTTCCTTTGTTTGCTGCGCTTGTTATCTTTTGTTGTACGTGTGTGAAGACGGACGGATACGACTTTTCGGTTCTCGCGAGAAGGTTTCAGCTGGAGGATATATCACCGACAGTGCCATATTTGCAGTACTCACAGGATTACGGTCAGAAGCCAGATACTGCTGTCGAGAGAGCTTCTCGTAAAAGACAACTTCAGGATATTGAGAAGACCCCAGGTGACTACCCATTGGACGGAAGATTGAATACTGCCGACTCCACTCCAGATAGTGAATCTGTTGTACCTCTCTGTGAACGGACGGTGACACGACAGTGGTTGCACTCGTGGGGATACGGACCTCAGTGTATTGACACAATGCCTGAGCATGCAGATAACATGACGGTGGATGGCGGAGCCCCCCCCTGTGAAGCGTAATCGTGAGGAGGTTCTGGCTGAAAGGAAGGCCGCCTTGGAGGGGAGGGATGGTATGCAGAGTTTACTATTGCAGATGATGCACAAGATGGATGATAACACTGAAAGGATCCAGGATGCCATAGGAGTTCAGGGGACCAAAATCGACAACGTTCAGGCCCAGGTCCAGAAGCAGGGTGTTACGATTTCTAATCTGGAGACGAGCGTTCAGGGGCTTGAGACTAAACATAATCGACTTGAGACGATCGTCCAGGGACTCCAAGGACAGGTTCGTGCGGGTTCAGTTGCCAGTGACGCTTCGACAAGGCCTGATAATACCAGGACGGGAAGATACCAGGCTCCTGGAACCACCTACTTCTCTCCAACGTATGTCGAACTCAAGGGATGGGTCACCAACTGGAGTGACAGGGATAGGAGGTCTCAGGAGATGCTCATGTGGGAGGATGTGAAGGTGCTCATAGATAACATTACAAATCATTGTCTTTCGGAGGATGATCGTGTGCACGTGTGTGTTGACGGTACTGAGCGCATTAACGCTGGCCGTTACATGTTCGGATCGGCCAAAATCAAATTCAAGCCAGGGACCGACAGGGATATTATTTGGAGGGTCAAACGGTGCATCGACCTTGTGACGGTACCCCCTGCTAAACGCCCCGCGCCTCCTCCAGGAATCCAGATCGCTGCACCACAGTGCCTCATTGAGAATATGAAGCAGGTTATCAACCCTGAGTCGATCAAAGTCAGTGTCGAGTGCCCCGAGTGGAAGAGGGACCACGTTAAGGCGGTGGGGAGATTCTGCGGCACTATTCGGAGCATGTGTACACAGATTGGTATTGAGGTTATTGCTGTGCGAGGGGAAATGGGACCGCCCAAATCGACAATATGGACAGTGCCCACGACGGCCGCTCCGAGGCCAATGCTTCTGGCCGAGTTTACCACGACGCGGGCGACATGGGAGGTATCGAGTGAGACTGTCGACAGGTTGCATCAACTCATACCTGCGTTTGCTAAGACGAAGGCTGATATCGAGACGGAAGTCAACAGGAGGGTG